TCCAGTTCAGTTCCTAGGATATTATGAACCGCTGCTTATTTGCTGCATTTGCAAGAAACTGTTGTTTCTTCATATTCATAACCATGTCAGAATCAAACTAAACACCAGTAGACATTTTCCTTATTGAACGCCTAAGATGAGTCGTGTCTTTTGTTGATGGTCTATCTAGATAGCCATCAAAAACAACTGTTGATTGTTTACCATATTTGTGGTCAATATAATCAAGTTAAAGTTTGCAGATGCCCTTATATGTTAGTCTTCTTGGCCATGGAATTCTCTGTAAAAGTGAAACTCCATCAATAACATACTTACCCTCAATGGACATGTCACTAGTAATGGGACCAACACATTTCCAGACTGCTTCGGCTAAAGCTGGCCTGTTTGCTTCCCGCATCAGTCCATCAGAGGCAAACAATGCTGGTGGATGAGTACACAGCTCATAGGTGAAAAGACTGGACAACTCTGTTGATACAATTCCCCTTGCAATGGAAACAAGTCTTTGAAATAATGACTGGGGATCAACTTGTACTTCATCTGCTCAAGCTTTAATGATGTTTTCACACAGCCTGTTCTTTTTTAGTGAATGAAAAATCACTCTTGCTTTTTCCAATCATAGACTTTATTATTTCAGCACCAATAGACCTAGCATTATCGACATTTACTGAGTCATCAGCAACAACTCCAGTAGCTATACTACATAGAGAAGAGTTGTTCGTGAATGGATTTCTTGCACAAAGAAACTGTACCAACTCCATTGGGTCATTATGGTCTCTAATTTGCCTGGTCTTTGCACTCTCTTTGTATTGCTCACTTGTGATGTAAGAAACACCAGTGAACTCTTGCATTGCACGGTTGACTTCTGCACATACAGATGTTGATAGTAGCCAAACGGTACGTTGTATTTCTGACATACCTCTACCCCTTGTCAGCCCCCCCACTTGTTTTGACACTCCACATCAACACTTGTTCAATTGCAAAATCAGTCGATATACCTGCCCAGTCTGTCCGCCTAACCACATGGTATCCATGCAGGAATGATCGAAATACATCAGCATTACTTTCTGGTAGTTTTGACATAATCTGAAGATATATGTATGCTGACTTTGCATGAAGATTATGGCCAGATGCAGCAAAGTATGGAAGCATGTCTGAAAAAGCTTTTAGATGGAGAGACCAGTTACCAGTTCTTTCTTAGAGTCAGTACTTCCCTTGAACAAACCGATTCTATCTCTGTCTCGTGTGCAAGCAGCCTCTCTAGGATGGTCCCTGCTACTCTCAACTCATTCCTTGTATCTTCTGTTTGTGACTGATTTGCATT